TTTTCTGTCCATTTTGGCTTGTTTGAACAAAATTAACTTTAACTGACATTGTAGTATGGTACTTTCATAGCAGGGCCTCCTTCACTAAAGTGGACCTATTATGCTTTCCCTTAATTTTGTGAAATATATATACTTTGCTTTAGTGGTGGACGCTCATATTAATTAAACTCATCCTTAATATGGTCATCAGAAGCACAGAGTTTTGGCTATAAACATATATATAGTTTACATATATAGCACACAATTCAAATCTTTTGTTTAAGACAGACAGCCAATCAGAACAAAGTGAGCCTGAGGTGAGGGGGAGGAGCTAAAACGACTTATTTCTGACAGCGGAAGAGCTGAGGGGCTGCACCAAGGCTCAGTATTAGATAATTAAAGATTAATCTGATATGTGATTCATGCAAAGCTACTCTAGTAAAGTCCAAGATCGAAAATGAGCATAACAGGAAATGAAATAACAAAAGATCCAAAATAGAAAAGCTCCCGGCAGTACTAAACGTACTAATGACCACAACACCCTGAAATTGTAGACAGTAAATTCTCTGGCTACAGATCGAACTACTTTATTACTGCATGAAAAATTCACGCTTTTTAATGTGCTGTTAGTTTTTTTGTGTAAAATGTGACGTAAGAGAAACGTGATTGACATGCTTTGAGTTTAGGCTGTAGAAACCATTCTGTCACACACACACTGCACACAAACTAAACATTTTTATAGTGTTGCCTCGGGGCTTTGAGGCTTGGCAAACACTTCATAATTCAATCATCTTTCATCACACTTTGTGACTCAGTAGCAAGTGTCAGGACACAGATATAATCAAACTCGCAGGAACCGAAAGTCAGATTTAGAATGACTTTAATATAAAATGAATGAAAACATAGCAGTCGATAAAACAGTCGAGTCATGTCTTTGTTGACTTCGATTAACAAAAATGTTGAAATACCGTCTTTGGAAACAACGTAAAGCTCAAATATATGAGGAATGTCATTCTTGTAGTAACCACTAATCACAGTCATGAGACCAAAGAATGTACACAATTTATTTATATTTAAGAATCTGAACTAAAGTCATTTTGTAAATAATATCTATTGATGAAACCAAAGAATGTTGGAAATGAAAAAGAGGAACAATGCACTGTGTAATTTGTAATGAAACTGTATGTCAATAAATTTCTATTCTGCAACTTTAAAATAATTTCTGTGAATTTTCTATTTTTTTTTCTTAACAACCACGCACAAATAAACTTAAGCGGTCACATAACATGCCTAACCACAACCTCTATCCCTAAGCTTAACTTTAAATTCAGCCTTGAATTAAGTGATAAATGTTGAGTGAGTTTGTGCTCCTATGAACCTCATTCATCACTGACTCACTGTACACGCATCATATCAATAAACAATTCAGTTGGTAATATTACTGAGGAAATGCTTTTCTAATTCTCTGGATCTTTGACGAACAACGAGAAAGGGAAGACATGGCTGCAAAGAGAAAAAACA